TGCCATTGGAAATTATACTGTTGTATACATATATTAAAACGTATTTGTGTCAAAACAAAAATGGTGAGAATCGATCTTGTTGGCAAATAGCGTGAATTAAATAAAATATTGGTATATTTCTAAACACTAAATCCAGGGTACAGTTCAACTATTAAAAGTTAAATTATATAACGCGGCTTTGGATTATTTCAAATTCTCAATACTTAACAGTCGGGAAGTAATTCTTTAATCACCACATTTTTAGTAATAACTCTGCAGAAAAATGAAATGTTATTGTGAACAAAAGTACGCTGCACTCCGAAATAGACTTAAATAACACTCTTGAGTCTTTTGAGTGTCTTGATCAATGAGTAGAAAACATAGTGCGGATATTCCGACATAAATTTTCAATTCTTTTGATTCTCCAAAGAATAAAAAGAGATTTGGTAGCAATAAACGTTTATTTTTCTATGTTTTAAGGGCAAGTAAATAATATATGTGTTAAAATACCAAAAAAATATTTATTAATTAACATTTATTCACCACTTAAAACTTTTTAAACACTGATTTTGTATCGTTAGTAATAGTAGGCCTATTGCAATCTTATTTAAGCATTAGGCCTATTACATAAACATAACGTAAGGCTTGGCTGAAACACTACTTGGTAAATTTTATTTTGTTTTTTGGGTACAACTCAATGTCATAAACTTCTGAATTCAACCATTTTGCTGTTATATCACCGAAGTTATCAAAAATAAAGAATAAGAAACAAACTATTCTAATAAATCAACAAGAATATTGAGCCTTCAACATAAACACCATAGTTGGCCTAAGAACAAGCAAGTGATAGTTTTGTTGCTAAGCGACGATATATATATATTGTTGAGCATTACCAAAAAGAGAGCGTAAAAGCGTTATCGATAGAGTGACAAAGGGAATAAGCCTCTTATAGTTCGTAATGAAAGTGGAAATACGAATTGTAAAAAAAAATAATTAACTTGGCAACAAAATGAAGCTGCTCGGTTACCGAAAGCATGAGATTAGCAAGTTAGAAAAGATACAGGAAATGAAGACGAGACTACACTAGCAAGTGGGCTAATCCAAGTTTATCATTCACCTTCTCTCTCTCTCTCTCTTTAGCTCACCAATCAGATAATTGAGTCACAGCTATTCAAAAATACACATGTTCCATGTGACTGTCATAGAATTGTCCCAGACACACAAGTTAAAATAGAATACAATATAACTATCCCATGAAGTAGGAAATAGTTTCTATGATGGGGTCTTTTTAAGAGAAGGTAACATCCAACACTTAATTTAACACCACCGGACTTATTATGCTGAAAATTTGAATTTAGAACAATTAAATGTCTTGAGTTTGAGATATCTATATATAGAAGCACAAAAATATCTGTTTCTATCTATTTGTCCGTTATCTAACTACTCCTAAATCGCTCAGATAATCTCAGCCAAACTTTGTGGGATGATAGTTTGGAACAAGGGGTATGTTAATAGGGGCTCACAATTCCTCCACCCCCTCCATTATTGCTGTTGTTGTGCAATTATTATATCTGACATAAATTAACGTTAACTACATTCATAGATGGTGCCACGTCCTCACACCAAAAATAATAAAACTTTATTAAATTTTCTATAAAACACCATACACACAGTATGGGGGAAGGGAACACAAACGTTTTATATATCTCAGAGAGTGCACTATCACTCTCCAGGGAGGAATGCAATGAAAAAATTGGCCGCCATTATTGTAATAACACATAAACTCAGCTCAAGTTTCTACTCCAACAGCCACCATAAGGCTGATATGAAGAGCTGTTTTTGAGTTATACCCACTTTCTACTTTGACTCGTGACGTTTTAACTTCGGCCCGTAAGACACTTCTTTGGCCAATGACTGTCAATTAATTAATCACGTGAAACACTGTGGAAGGACATTAAGAGATGGGTGTCTAAAGCGGGTAACAGAAAGTACCCGTATCGCCACTATTTTGGACACTAACTCTTCCTGATCATCGCACAATGTATACCTATACCATGTTTTAAGGATATACATATTGATTTCTCATAGCTTATACAAACTTTTGATGAGGTAATAATAAATACTGTAATAATATGTTATGTTATAAATAAATTGTGTGAAAAGACTTTTGTGTTATTTATCATAGCATCCACCCCTTCAAATTCTTTGTGAGTTCATAACCCGGACAAAAAATGGGTACTTTAGCTTGTATACTATAAGAAAGAGAGTGAGAGATATGTGGTACAGATCGCATGCTTTTAATACGCCTGATAGATTAGTTAAAGTTAAATAAAATAAATAAAAACACCAAATAACAACAACAAAGAAAAAAATCCACGACAGTCGATTATAGATGCTTTGTTTCTCTTTCTTTTTAATTTTTCATTAAAGATATATTCATAGAAATATATGTGAAATAATGTTGACTAACTTATTTCATTACAGAATGGACTTAATCCAAAAAAGGACCATACTGAAAATAAAATGCTTGTAATTTAAGCAATGACTTTTTTCGTAAATTTTTTGTCCCATTAACTGCACAATGGTATGTCTGCGGACTTATACCGCTAGAATCCGGGTTTCGATACACCTGGTGGGCAGAGCACAGATAGCCCATTGTGTAGCTTTGTGCTTAACTACAAACAAAGAAACAAAATTTCATTAACTGAATTGTGACATAGAGGTAGTTTTTAGTTCAGATTATAAAAATTATATAGAATACAAAATTTTTAAACAAGAATGGTCAATTATATCATTACTCAGTGTTGCACAAACTTTATTAAGTGGATAGAATTGTAGCTAAATCGACTTAACTTGAAAAGATATATGATGAACTTACTTTATATTAAACTGTAAAAACTGTATACAAAGAGCAAGTGCTATAGTTACCAAACAACGATAAGATAATTGTAATTATTTTAGCTTATGTCATCTGTACCAATCGCTGATAGTAGGTGTATCATATCTCGTTTTAACATATTTTCCCTCAGAAACAAATGGGTTTGATTAGATAATGTGTAGTAAACATAAGAATATTTTGAGTTATATTTCCTGCGAAAGAAATCCGAAAGCTTTCGTTTAAAAGGATGATCAGACTTCTTTTACGATTCTGTTTTATTTATTGCTAAGCACAAAACTACAGAATGGGCTATCTGTGCTCTGCCTACCGTGGGTATCGAAACCCGATTTTTAGCGTTATAAGCCATTAAACTTACCACTGAGGGATCGAGGTTTTTTTTTGTATTTGACGCAGTACGTCTGAATAATACTGTAAAAGTATTATAACATGAGATAAAAAATACTGCAACAGGTTTTTAACATTCGAGACAACCGCTGTCTAGTTTATTAATATTAGATAAGGTCATAAAATAAGGCTGATGCTATGAACGGTACATATCAGTAAATTATACTGTATATGCACAAAGTGGTGTATTTTTTTTAACTCTTCTTTCTCGTTTTCGGATTTTATATCTTGGAAAGTTGAAGTTTGCGTAGGAAATACATAATTTTCAAAGAGCTAAAGTCAAAATTAAACTGAAACATTTAGAATAAAAGCAAAGATAATCATTTTTTTGTATAGATTAAAGCTAACTTAATGTATTTTTGTAAACAGCATACCAGTGCTGTTTCTGACCCGGATAACACAGTGAAACCAAGCCAGTTGCAGTACGACATCATTAAAAACAAAAATTTTGAGGCCAAACCACATCACTTGGTATAACAGAGAACCACATTCAGTTTACGAGTTTGTAATATTTTACTTTGGAAACTATCATCACTGTGGAAGATGTGAAAGGAAAGCTGTCAAAACGTACACTGTGAGGCAACTTAAACTTGTTCGCATCTTTTTTGGTAGCTAAACAGTTAATAACGTTGCCAGAACTCTCATTATTGATTCTATTATGACACGAAGACGATAAAGTATTGAATAACTTCGCTGTCACTTATACTGTTGAGATATCAGGATCATAACTGTTTTTAACGATAATATCTACGTGTTTGCACTCTTCCATTATGTTACTCAATGTTGTATCTCATAGCAACGCAAACCGCTGAAAAGAAAGATATAAAACATTAAAACTTAGAGTTAGTTATCAATCATAAGAAATAAGTATATGAGATCTGAAACTTTACGTACATCCTAGAAAGGAGTATATGAAGGCAAAAACCATTCACTAATCGTAGACATGTAAAAAGGATATAAAAGCTGAACTCACTTAATAATTTTATGTAACAAAACATTTACATAAATTTTATACCTATTACATTTTTCGAAAAAGGGTTATGAAAACTAAAACTGTAGATTATTTGTAGGTACTAGAAAGTGGAATTTAAAGGGCAAAAATTTCAATAGTTGTAAGTCACGAAAAAATTTACAAATGATAACTATAAAAACTATAAATAACAAAACGACGTAGAAAAAGCAAAATCCTTGTAAACGTTTTGAATAACAGAAAAGGGATTAGAAAGACAAAATCTTAGTTGTTCTTCTTAGAAAAAGAAATATGAAATTTAAAATGATGTAACAATTATAAAATTCCAAAAGACAGAAATCGTCAAAATGAAAATTTTTGAGTTTAAAGAATACTACGTCATACACCAGTATTTCTATGGACTTCATTTTAAATAGTTACTAGAAAATGGTTTCGAAAGAGAAAGTGTTAAAGAAAAATTACTTTTAAATTTGCATGCAGTGAATCCAGAGGGCAAGAAAACGAGAGTTCTTTGAGAGTTCAAAGCAACTTTTTGGTTATAACATCGCCTCGTCAAGAAATTTAACAGTATTTATTATCATTATTTAAACATGATACAACAAGATTAGTGATAAGATTGAACTGCTTGCGTTTCAAACTATTAGCAATCTTTATACACATGCCACTCCTTTCCGACTCTTTATATTTGTTTTGTCATAAGCCAAATAACTTATCACGCTTTCTTTTATCAGTAAATGTTTAACCTAAGCCTTACACGATCATTACTAGAAAGAAAGACGCTGCAGCTCTGGTTATTCAAAAACAACAGAATTCTCAGTTAGGTACAAGAGGTAGAAGTATAACGACGTGTTATTGAGATTTTTTAATAATAGGAGTAAATTACAGTGAATATTTTTAACGAGATGATGTATAGTTAACTTGCGGACTAGATATTATAAACACTAAGTACTGGATTGCGTGTTCGCCAGAAGTTTCCAAGAGTAAACTCAGAAGTACATGCTAGGAAATTTAAATAATTCAAATAGGAATACGTTTCAGGTAGGCATTTTACAGGTGTAAACGACAATCAGGATGTTGATAATTTAGCATACAGTACGTGTTAGTCAATAGAATAGACACAGAAATGTGTCCACTTGAAAGCTTAAAGAATGGATGTGATCGTATGTGTTAGCCAGGAATTAAAAAAAAAAATAAACAAATAGAGAAATATTTAAGCCAGCCGGAATACAGACATAGCAGTACATGTTGACAAGAAGATTGAAAGGGTAGACATATGAGTTCTTGTAAACAGGAGTTTTAATTAGTAAACATACGAGTAATTGTCTTTTAGGTTTCAAACAGTAGACATAGAAGTATATCTACCCCTAGAGATTAAGAGTAAGTATTAACTAAGAGTTTTAAAATCCATACAAATTAATAAACATTTCCCAGGAGTTTTGAAGAATTGAAGCAATAATGAATGTCGGCCATATGTTTGAAAAATATCGCGTAGAAATACGTGTCCATCTGTAGATTTATAAAACAGACTTAGAAATATGTCTATCGGAATGTTTAAGGTATATCCATAGGAGTAACATCTGCTTGGAGTTTTAAAATATATTCATAGGAGTAATGTTTGCTTAGAGTTTTAAAAGTGTATTCGTACGAGTAATGGTTGTTTGGAATTTTAAAGTGTATTCATAGGAGTGATGGCTGCTCGGAGTTTTAAAGTATATTCATAGGAGTAATGTCTTCTTGGAGTTTTAAAGTATATTCATAGGAGTAATGTCTTCTTGGAGTTTTAAAGTGTATTCATAGGAGTAATGGCTGCTCGGAGTTTTAAAAGTGTATTCATAGGAGTAATGTCTGCTTGGAGTTTTAAAGTATATTCATAGGAGTAAGTGCCCGGAAGTAGTTTATTTGTAGGATTTAGTTTCTGCCAGGAGTTTTAAGAAATTGATAGACGCACATGTGGGCCAAAAGTTGATCTGAGAAATGTGCTTTATAAAGTATCCTGAGAGATACACAAGGAAGTACATGTGACCTAGAGTCTGAAAAATTTCTACAAGAGTAAATATCATTCAATATACTTAGAGACTTGATATAACGAATGAACGTACCCTAGGTTTTAAAAAGCAATCAAATGAGTTTTAAAAGATACATTGGAAAAATACATTTCCGAATAGTTTGAAGAATAGTACTGGATTATATGTCAGTAGAAGGTTTAAATTTTACATAAGAAATTCCGTTATGATTGCTGACACAGCTAATTTAAAACGGCTTCAATTCAAAAATGCAGAAGGCTAAAAAATACGCCGCTGGTAGAATGCTACTGTTGCGTCAGCGAGGTCACCTGACTAGTATCACGCCACTTCGTTCTCGAACCTTCGGGAGATTACTAGATTGGGGGTAGTCTGGTATATATAAGATGGTCACAACGTGACGGGATAATGTGTAGGTAGTGAGTAATTGATCTGCGGTCAGAGAGTATTGTTGAAGTTAACGTTCGTTGTCATAGCCTTTGTTTTAGCGCGGTTGTTGAAATTAAGTGTATTGTAAAGTTATATTCAGAAAGAATAAATCAGTTTTATTTGAGAAAGGATTTGTGTCGCTAAAGTTTCGTCGGAACGAATTTACGGGAAATCAATTAACAAACGGAGACGTAACACTACTATGTCTTTGCCAATTCTTAATTCTGAAACAGTTTCGTTATTTCAATATGCATTAATTATATTTTAATTTGTAACAGCGTTAGACGCTTCAGTAAACATGTTTAATCACGGAATTGTAAAATTTAAGAACTGTATTATTATTTTGTTCTTTATTAAGATTTCTATAAGTGCTCTGTATAAAAAGGGAATAAAAAATACCATTTTCACTGGTTAGAAACGACATTTAACCACTATCAAGTGCCCAAATAAAAGTATTCGAACACTCTTGAACAAGATTGCGTCATGGCCCATCCACCATGAATTGAAATCTATTATTTATAAAGAGAAACATCATACTGAAATATTAGTAGCATTGAAGTGTGTGCAAGTTGCCAAAACGTCGTGAATTACGAGAAACTGAAAGAGAAATTCTTATATATAGGCTGTGGCATAGGGATTATCGATATGTGAAGACATTAGTTATGATAACAAGCTATTTTCTATTTTAAATTGTTTGTTTGTTTCTTGTTTATCACAAAGCTTCGCAATGGGCTATCCGGCTGTGCCCACCTCGAGTATCGAAAACCGGTTTTCAGTGTTATAAATCTCTAGTCTTACCGCTGAGCCACTAGGGGGCAACTTTAAATGATCCAGATTATTTCATTCAACTAAATCATGACCCAACATCTTGTTGAGAGAAATTAGTAAATGCTAAAATGTTAAGTTAAAAAATGAACTTGAAATTTATTATTATATTCATAAAACTAGTTTATACAATTCTCAGATATATGACTTATCCAAAGTTCACAAGGAAAGTTGTCTGTTACGGCTTGTTGTGTCATCGTTTAAGTCTTTTAATTACAATTTAGGAAAATTATTGGCTTGGGTAATAGAACTTGATGCCACTTCTGCCCCTGATAATATAAAACAATCTTTTGAACTGATCGTGTGAAATAACTTAATCCTTAATTTACGATGTATATATATATATATATGTGTATGTGTGTGTGTGTGTGTGTATATATATACATCGTAAATTATATATATACACTAATGTACACTTTGAAGAAGATATTGACATGGTTTAATTTCATTCCTAACTATTCTAGTGCTCGGCTAATTATTCCTAGCAGCAAACTGTTGATTTTTGCTACAACTTATTGTAATTTCCAATTAAGGAGAATAAACTTTGACCAGAAATCTGGATAACGAACGAACAATCTAATTTCTTTTGTTTTGTATAATATTTTAAAATTTAAACATTTGCTATCAATACTCTTCGCACAGTTCCAGTTGCCGGTCATTCTTCAGAAACAAAAACCGACAAAGTATAATTCTTTTAACATATTAAGAATATATATTCATATATATAGACAATTGTTTACTTCAAAGAAATAACAACAACTTAAAAACCTGTGTGTATCATAAGCCTCCAACAATAATTTATATTTTAACTAGAAATCAGTCCATTGCACTGCCCATAAATTATCTATCATCAAAAACATTTTATATAATGCCAAGGTTATATGCCCTGACACACAGCGCAGAATATCGAACAAAAATCAATTTCAGTATATTCAGATGTTTCGCAGAAGTTAATGGATACCCTGAACACTTGGTAGATAAAACTATTTCAAATGTTTTAAAATTCAAATTCGTCTACAAGCAGTTGTTCAAAAGTCTTTTTAACAATGATATTTTTTGCTAGTAACGTCCCACCTTCGACTGTTTTTTTTTCTATAATCTGTCCAAGCGTGGCCCAGTATTTAGCGTGCCAGACTGTAAATCTTCGAGTCCAATGTTTACGTTCTGTTATGCCACCTAAAAAAACAACAACAATTCACGCTCCACACTTGCGGGACATGGAAACGCTATAAGAGTCACGGTCAAATCTTATTATTCGGTCAAACAACAGTAGCCAAACAGATGGCAGTGGCTTCTGTTGACTAGCTACATTTTATGTAGTCTAGCAGTTCAACGTTATGGATAGCTAGCCCAGACAGTCTTTGAATAGCTTCACACGAATATCGGATAACAAACAAACAATTTTGTAATATTTACGTTTTTATAATTTTTACATTTATTCGGGTCTTTTTAACGATTAGCTTTCTCTAATTATTAGCAATCCTTTGCATGAGGTATATATTTATAATTAATAACTAACTTTAAGTGTGAGGTCAATTTTTGACCTCTGACATCACGCATACTCCACTCTTTGTTCAACCATACATCCAGACGGACTTCTCTTACATGATTTCGATCATATGATTGTGTTTTTTGCTCTGCTGGCAATTGTCGTCCCCTGGTAAGCCCTTCCATTTTATACTTTAATTCCATTATTTCCCCCTTCCTTTTCCTTTTCTGTCGCCCCCCCCCCAGTGACACAGCAGCATGTCTGCGGACTTACAATTTTAAAATCCGGGTTTCAATACCCGTAGTGGGCAGAGCCCAGATAGCCCATTGTGTAGCTTCGTGCTTAATTACAAACAAACAAACAATCCTTTTCCCCTACTACCCCCACGCTTTGCTTCTTTACTTTAATTTCCAAATATTGCAATTTTCATTTTTTCTTTATTATGCTGAATTTTAGCTTCATTTTCCTTTTTCAATATAAATAAATAATAACTTTTAATCAAAGCAAGCTACCTGCATAGATCAGAATTAAAAATATATCTAATGGTGAGAATAGCTAATTAAAGGTAATTAAAAGGTCAAAGAATGCTGATCGTACCAAAACAGCAGCAATTTATGTAGTATAAGTTACATAAACTTCCATACTGAAAAGAGTATTTTTTCTCCGTTGGAAGGATTTGAGGGTGGCAGTCATTGTGTATCCTTTCATAACCTACACCAGTACTCTCTATACTATAGAAAAATAACTATATCAGTAATTCTTTCTTTTTTAATTAGTATTACTGATCTATGAGATGTGTTACGTATTGAGAATTTGAAATAATCCAAAGCCGCTTTAAATAATTTAACTTTTAATAGTTGAACTGTACCCTGGATTTAGTGTTTAGAAATAGGCCGATATTTTATTTTATTCACGCTATTTGCCAACAAGATTGATTCACACCATTTTTGTTTTTGACACAAATACGTTTTAATATATATATACAACACTATAATTTACAATAGAAACTATTATGATTAATTATTACAAACCAAGTTTCATTAACAGAAATTTCACTAACTTACAAGTAGCCTAAAATTGTCTTCCTAGTTCAGAGTCTCCTTGATATCCAGTGAGTTGTACGTACATATAATTGGCGGGAAGCTAGCTAGCTTTGTCAGGCACTGAATTGTTGGACCGTTGAAGTAAGATAATATTTTAATAAAACTACTAATGTCCGATGAGAAATTAGTAATATTTTTGGAAAGGTATTAACGTTTGATGAAAATTCAATG